ATAAGCAAAATGCCGTCCATCCACACAATGGAATACTATTCAGCCTTAAACAGGAAGGAAATTCTGACACACGCCAGAACATGGATGAACCTTGAGGACATTATGCTGAGTGAAATAAGACAGACACAAAAGAACAAATATTATTTGATTTCACTTATATGAGTTCCCTAGAGGGGTGAAATTCATAGAGACAGAAAGTGGAACAGTGGGTGCCAGGGGCTGGGGGAGCAGGGTGGGGAGTGAGTGTTCACTGGGGACAGAGTTTCAGTTTGGGAAGATGAGGAAGTTCTGGAGATGGAGGGTGGTAATGGTTGCACAACAACGGGAATGCGCTTAACACCACTGAACCATACACTTAATGATTAAAATGGTAAATTTTAGGTTATGTGTTTTTACAATAAAATTTTTCATTTTAAAAGGAGGGCTAAATATTTCCCTTGCTAAAGCACAGGGAACTGTGCCTCCTGGGGGCCATGCCTCAGGTGTAGCGCCCAACTGGGGGCTCCGTGTTTCCCAGGTGACCCTTCACACCCAGAGGTCGGGCGGAGGAGGCATCCTCACACGGAGAGGCCGGCGCTGAGACCCGAGAGCAGAAGACAAATCCACACACTGAGCCCCTGAGAGCGCCGCCCGCAAGACCCTCCGCCTGGCTCATTGACCAGGCCAGGGACAGACAGGATTGTTTTTCTCGCACAAACGGCTGTGTGGAGTGTCTCCGGCTGCTCTGAAGTTCACGGTCTGCAGCAGTGAGCGTGCGCTGTCTGAGGTCATCCCGTGGGCGCGGTCCTGATCCCAAGACGACCCCCCAACCCCCGAGGCTGCTCCCTCCCCACGCCTGGGCCAGCTGGCTGCACAGCCAGAAACAGCTTCACCACTGCTCCTCTGGGCCTCGCCCCTCTCTGTTCACCCTGTCCACAGCTGTCTAGAAGCTGTCTTTTTATTTTTTTTGCTGAGGAAGACTGTCCCTAAGCCAACATCTGTGCCAGTCTTCCTCTATTTTGTATGGGGGATGCCGCCACAACATGGCTGACAAGTGGTGTAGGTCTGTGCCTGGGATTCGAACCCACGAACCTGGGCTGCTGAAGCAGAGTGCGCCGAACTTAACCACTATGCCATGGGGCCGGCCCAACAAATCACTTTTAAAAGGTAGCTAGAGGGATGGAGGTCAGCAACTGACTCCAGCGCTGGCCCACCCTCCTGGACCCTTGTGCCAGATTCGGGTCTTCTGGTCCCCATCTGTGACTGCAGGTGAGAGCGGAAGCTTCAGTCCATGCCATTGCTTGCTGACCGGTCCTGAGTGCCTGGGACAGAGGCCTGGGGCTGCCCACATGGGACACTGCATGGGCAGTGCTCCAGCCGGGCCACCCACACGACCGAGGGACGGTGTGTGCAGGCCGTGCTCAGGGCTCTGGGTGGTATCAGCCCGAGATGAGACCAGCTGAGGTCGTCAGAGCGTCCGAGGTCCCCTGAGCACAAGAGGCCCCGTGGGGTCAGGATGTCGCTGAGCAACAACAACTGCAGTGGACAGTGTTTGAAGCCCGGGAGACGTGACATGCGAGACCAGGCTCCTGCTCCAGGAGGAGCATCCACTCAGCTGAGGCGCCTAATGTGGACGAAACTGCCGCCTCCCTTGCAGGCCTCCAGGCTGGGCCCGCGTGGCCTGGGACCCCGAGGGGGCGGCTGTCCAGGCTTTCTGATGAAGTGGTCGGCTGTGGGGGGTGCAGCCCGGGGCGTTTCCCCCTCTGAAATCCAGCCGCCAATCGACGGTCAACTTGGAGCAAAGCGTCTCCAGCTCCCAAGCAGGAGAAGCCCCGTGCCAGGCGGGCGGTCCTGTCGGCAGGGCTAGGCTGCCCCCTGGTGGAGCGCGGTGGGCATCCAAGTCAGCCTGGCGTGCGGAGTGCCGTCCCTGGCCTGTCCCTTCTCGGCTGAGCCACGATTTGCAGGGGAGGCCTGGGTGGGGCCCAACAGTGCCCAGACCGCTGATGGGCACTGACCCAGTCAGTGGGCAGCCATGGCCCTGTGGTGAGACCCTGGAGGCGGCCAGTGGCCGAGGGACAGGACAATCCTGGGGTGGGGCCGTACTGGGGAACATAGAGCTCCCTCTGCCAGCCCCGCCCCCGGCTCTCCTGCACTGACCCCAGAGTCTCCCGGCCCAAGGCCAGAACTGGGTTCAGGCCATGCCACTCTGCGGCTCCCGGGTTGGGAGGCCTCTGTGCTTCGGTTTCCTCATCTATAAAATGGGAAAGAGGGCACTTCCTTCGGAGGTGTTGAGAGACCTGGCGAGTCAACATGTGAGGAGGTGAGGATGGTGCCGGCACCCGGGACGTGAGACCCAGTACCACAGCAAACGATCCTTCTGTGCGCTCTAGAAACTTGACCCCTGGACACCATGGGGTGACTCCGGCGTGGCAGGGTGGGTGCAGGGAGGAGCAAGACTTCGCCCAGGACCCCCGCGTTGCTCTGGGGGGTTGAGGCGAATGAGTGGCAGCTGCTGTGGCTGCCCCGACGGCTGGTCCCACAGGGATGGATGATGTGCCCTCGGGGAGAAGGGACGCAGCTTCTGCTGGGTCACACAGCGTTTCCCAACAGGCTCAGGTGCAAAGTGCCGACTGCGCTAGCCCAGGCTGGCAGGGCGGCTGCAACGCACGCGGACTGAGGACACTGCCTGTGGCCAATGGCCTTGCCCAAGGCTGCGGTCGCAGGAGTGGCCTGGCTGGTGGGTTCACCCATGCAGAGCTCAGTCTCACCAGCAGGGAAGGCAACGCGCGGGGTTTCCTGCGTCCTGGGCCCCACATCTAAGCACGGCTGTCGGGGAGCCTCCCAGGCCCCCACCCCCAGCCGCTCCATCTCAATAAGGGCCCTGTGCCAGTTACCAGTTCATCGCCTCTCAGCCCCAAATCCACCCTTCTTCGCCCGGCTTTGTGCTGCTGAGCGGCACTGGTAAGGTTTCCATCTGTGGCTGGTGTGATGCTGGGCTCTGCCAGCAGAGGGCAGAGCAGGGCCCTGCGGGGGACAGGCCTCCCCAGGGTCCAGGTGTGTCCACTCCTTACTCCTAGGGCTTGGGCGGCGGGGGACCCAGTGATGTTGTCTCTGCATCCGGGGCGGCTTCCCGCAGACCAGCCCCGGCAGCTGGCGCCTGGGACACTCCTGCCCCTAGCACAGCCCCCACACCCTGCCTGTCTCTGCGGGGTCTGACTTGGAGGGCTGGGCTTGCCCTGTCCAGGGCCCAGCCTTTCCCCATCTTCGCTCTAACTTGGATGTGAGAAACCTGGCGAGGATGTGAATTCAGCTGACACCATAATTCTGCAACCCCCACAATTACATCCCGTTTCAGCCCTGTGAACGTGAGAAAGGAGGTGTCCTCTCGGGCTGCTGTGGGGTCTCTGCTTCTCTGGCTGTGACCTGAGCGGAGAGTTCAGAGACCTGAGCTTGTTGTCTCCTCCCTGCACGTGCTCCAGGAACTCAGGAGAGCCGCCCCACAGCCGTGCCTGCAGCTGTCACCACTGCCCTAACAGCCGTGTGCAGCCATGCGTGGGTTCCCAAGGCCCTTGACTCAGCCAGCAAGTCACAACCAACCACGGTGACAGCCCCATCAGCCCCACTCCTGAAGCCACTGCTGCCACGGATTCACGTTTCCAAGGAGCTCGGCCCCCAGCCAGGCCCAGGGACCCACCAAGCCAATTCCTGAATCCCACCTGTGGACGTGTCCCCGGGGCCACTTTTGCATTTGCTATTTCCACACTTCTGCTTTTACCCCCTGCAGTGGCTCACTGCCCTCCACCAGTCGATCATGGTCACATTAAGTTAGTGGGGTGGTTTCTGTTTCCCAACTGGATTCTGGTGCAGGCACCACATCTGTCCCTCTGACGCTCAGGCCACCAATCCAGGAGTCGTCTTCACTTCTCCTCCTGCCTTCGCCTCGACATCCAATCCGTCAGCAAGTCCGGTGTCTTTACCTCCAAACCACCCCGAATCTGCCCTCTGCACCCCACGCAGGCCATCATCACCTCTCCTGCAGGACCCTTGGAATAGGGACCAGAGGGACCCTTCAACACAGATATCAGACCTCCTTCCTCCCAGCACTTGCGTGAGCTCAGAGGGAGACTGCAACCCTACCACAGCTCCAGGGCCTGCGCGACGGCCGCCTGCCCCTCCCACACCCTGCTGCGGCCAGCGGACGGGTTCCTGCCTTAGGGCCTCGCCCCTTCTCTTCCCACTGTCCATAACAACCTGCCCTTTGATCTTCAAGCGGCGGCTCCTTCTCGTCACTCACATCTCAGCTCACACTCAACTCTTTGGTGGCCCACGGTCTCTGCAGGGCCGACGGTGCTGCCTGTCCACTCCTCGTGGGCTCGTGCGCGTCGCCACTGACCGGGCACAGGAGCGACGTGTCGACAGGACACACGTCTGTGGCTCCTGCTCAGTTTGCTCCTGGCCAGGCACACAGGCCCGCGTCCAGGAAAAAAAGAATGATGGCTTCTGGGGGCCTGGAAAGCTCTTCCCACAAGCCTGCATCTCTCCCACCCACCTTGTAGCACCTGAAACCCCACCCTCCACCTCCCAAGACGCAACACCTGCCGTGATGAGGGGGTAAGCGGGGCTTGGAGCCTCGCTCACACAGAGAGGAGAGGGGCAGTCACGCCTGCTTCCCCATGTGGTCACGGGTGCACCTGGACTCAGGGCATCTCTCATCAAAAAGCTTCACCGGGTGGGCGTGGGCATCCTCAAAGGAGTGAGAAACATCACCTCATTCCCACAAAGTGACAGCATCGGGTCATGAGGGCATTTCAGGAACCAGACTGGACGAAAAGGTATTAGCCAGGGCCCCTAACCTCTTCACGCCTTTGTCTTCTCATCAGTAAAATGGAAACAGTCGCAGTCCCAACCTCGCAGGGTCATGAAGAGCAGCATCTGAGCTGCACCCTGAGAATGCCCCGGGACAGAGCAGACACCCCAGAGGGGCTCCCGCGAGCCTGGGGTCCCGGCAGGTTCCCAGGTACCTGGTAGGTGGAGCCGTCGGCGCGGCAGAGCACCCCGTGCCCCTGACGCTGGTCCCGGACCCAGTCGCCGTCATACTTGTCACCATTCCTGAGGGACAAACACAGAGGCTGCTCTCAGGCCGGGGGAGAGCCAGGTGGCAGCGCTGACTCAGACCGGCTCCTCCGACCGGGGCTCAGCACGCGCCACCGGGACCAAGGCAAAAATAGGCCCTGAACAGATGGCCGTGAGCTCCTGCCTTGCCAGGGCCCAGCCGCGGAGGGGCAGGAGGCCTTGGCACTCGGCAGGGGTGCGATGACAGGAGCCCGGTCCTGACGTGGACACGGCCACCAGCCTCCGCTTGCTGGGCCCCCAGGTGTGCAGGATTTGACAACGGAGAAGAGAACAGAGAAGAGGGGAGGCGGGCCCGCAAATTCCAATGGCAGGACTTTGCATGAGAAACTGCCCCAGGGGTTGACGAGGCAGGCTTAGGGTGTCCAGCACTGCGCCTGAGAGAAAGCCTTTGTGCCCACAACCCTGCCACCACCCGCTTTCCCAATTGCCGCCTTCTCTACTAAGTACACGAATAACCAATTTCAGTAACTAAAGGAGAAAGTACAGAATCACACCAAAACCACACACCCTACTGTGATGACCAGGCACAGGCAGGCAAGGAGCAGATGTCGGGGGGCGAGGGGTGGCTGTGGGGTGGGTGAGGCTGGCATACTCACTGACACTCACAGAAAGACCATGTGCCCCCGGCCGTGCCGCTTGTTGTTGTGGAACGCCCCCTGGTACACTTGTCCGTCCTGGTCCACCAGACACCCGTGTCCTAGTGAAGGATCCAAGAGCCGAGCGTCACCTCGTGTCCCTGTTGGGCAGACCCTGCTCCCATGAAGGGGTTTGCGGGCCCTCCCAAGAGGAGGAGCGTGGTGTGGTTGGGAGAGGCCGGGGTCAGCGCCCCCCAGAAGCCAGGCTGTCCTTCCAGGCCGGCTGCACAGGGTCCCTCGGCACCGTCCAGCGCTGCCCAGGACGAGAATGGCAAACTTGATTTGGGACAGCGCCGGCAGTCGCAATGCCAGTGGAAGTGGCTCCCGGGTCCAGCTGTCAAAGGTCCTGAGTGAGGGTGGGAGGGGGGCATTTAAGGGGTCCCCTAGACCCCAACATTTGAGACTGAAGTGCTCTGCTGTCTGGCTGGGACAGCGCTGCTGTGCAGTCAGAATCTGTTTGCAGGCGTGAGTAAGTTCACAGTGAGTACGGCTGTGCTGGGCCTCGAATGATCTACCCAAAGGGCTTTGGTCTGAAAGGCCAGGGGACACGCTCATGAGGATGAGGCTTCGCTAAGCTCTGGTGTTTTCAGGTTTTGGACAATTTGGCAGAGCGAGCGTATTTCTACTTCCCATGTAAGCAGACATCGGAAGCACAGAAGGAAGTTGCGTCCACGATCAGATTTGTGGTGACCGCTCTCTGGTTTCTTGGTGGCAGCTGCTCTCCCAGGAACAGTGAGCGCTCTGGTCTTCCGGCCAAGGTAACTGCCCGCCTGCTCCTCCCCTCCCGGTGCGCCTGCCCCGCCCTCCTGGGGCAGAGTCCCTCCCCCCGCCCCGCTCAGGAATGTGGCCTTTGTCCGGCAGAACGTGGAGGAAGTGACTGAGCTGAGGCCTCAAGAGGACCTGCAGCTTCTCGTCCCTTGGGAGACCCCAGGCCGAGGGTGAGGACGCTGGGGACCGCCAGCCTGGTTGAGGCAATGACAGCAGCCACATGGGTGACCCTAAGAGAGGCCAGAAGACCTGCCCAGCCCAGCCCAGGCCAGACTGCTGACCCCCAGGATCGTGAGCAAATAATAAAGTGGCGGTTGTTTGGAGCCGACAGGTTTCGGGTGGCTTGTCATGCAGCGGTGGCTCACTGATGCACGACCACGTCCCACGCCCAGCCCCACACACACTCAACCGCTCAGACTCTCCCCGCCTTCCCCACCCCCAGAGTCAGGCAGGCTGGGGCCGTGGTTCCTGCACCCGAGTGGATGTGAGGCTCCCTGGTCAAGCGCAGACTGAGCCCATCCAGACCCCCTGAATCGGAAACTCGGGGAGGGGTGCTGATGTCCAGGTTCCCCACAAAGCATCCCGCCCTGCACAGCCCCCGGCACGCAGCCACACTCAGCGAGTTCCTGTGGACACAGACCTTCTCTCATGCCATGGGAGAGCTCCCCTTTGTAACGTCCGCCAGCTTTGTACTGCATGATGCCATGTCCTTGAGGCTCTCCCAGAACAAACTGGCCCCAGTAGGTGTTCCCTGGTGCGGACAAGGAGGAGGGGGAAACAGCGTCCAGGGTTAGAACTGTTGCCTGAGCCTCGCAGGACCAATTAGTTCCCGCCCGTTCCCTGACCGATGGTGGCAGCAGGTGCCCCTTCAGATGAGGGTGTCTCTCTATCTTCTTACTTACTCTGGTTAATGAGAGAAAACATGATTAGGTGGTCTGGTCCTGCCCTCCAGGGTCCTGCAGGGGCGTGCAATTCCCTTCCGCAGCCATGTAGGTGCAGCCTCCTGCCTATGGTGGCCCTCACCGTGGGCATCCACGTGCCCGAGGGCAAAGGCCTCTCGGGGTCAGAGTCTGTGGGGTGAGCCTTCTCTCCACTAAGAACCGACTATCATGCTTGCCCATGAGGGTCTGGGGTCTGGAGACAGCCCCTGGCTACGCTGGGGGCAGCACTGTGGTCGCCCTGCCCAGGCTGGCACACTGTGGTTACGGGATACCTCAGGGAAACTGGGGATCCCTAAGTTACAGATAGAAGTGCCTTTTGCATCCAGAAGGGAGGGACCAACTTACGCCAGAGACAGTTTATGAGAAAGAAAGGACACCCGTCACCTGTCTCCAGAGCTAACCTGACGAGGCCCAGTGCCGGCAGCCTTCTCCCATGATCTCTCCATCCACAAACTGGCCTTCGTAATAACTTCCGTCTTTAAACACCAGCTTCCCATGACCTGGTAAAAGAAATCGTGATGTGAAGTCAGATAGCGGTCGGGAGTGACCGCTGGCGCCCGTGCGTGGCAGGGCTCATTTCTTAGAGAGAAGAGCTGGGCTTCAAAGCTCTTAGGCCTCTGTGTTTGGCTCCATCTCTCGTCCAACATTTGCTCTCTGTGAACTCACCCGTGTACATACTTATCAATAAAAATGTTCTTGAAACATGACTGAGCTTCCTGCTGCTCAGCCAGAGTAACTGCAGAGCCATCAAAGGTGCAGAGAAGACCCCACCCCCCAATCTGCTCAGAGGGACACTACGGTCACCTCATCTCCGTCAGCGCAGGAGCAGAAAGAGAGAGTCTGTGGGTGCAGGGTGACACCGAGAATACATTTCACAAAGGAGGAACCACTCTGTCCAGGCCAGGCTCTGACAGGAGTCTCAGAAAGGAGCCTTCACGCCTGGGCTGGAGGACCAGAAACAGAGATTTCAGCCCAAAATTGAGAAACATCTATGTGGCAAAAACACTATAACAAAAGTCAAAAGGTTAAAAATGTAGAAAATATTGGTAGCCAACAGATACAAAAAGGGCTCGTATGAGAAAATACCAAAAGACCAATCCTCCAGCAGAAAAGCAGGCAGAGGCTATGAGCAGGCAGCAACCCCAGGCAGAGATAAAACTGTGTGAGCATAAACTTTGGAAAATCTGGACCCACCCCTGGGGACCCCGGGTGACAATCACTTGATACGTCTCTCCACTGCTACTACGGTTTTCTACAAAAATAGGGAGTCCCTTCATCATCAGAAATAAACCATTAAGGCAGTTTCCACTTTGGCAAAGACGAACTAAAACTCCAGGGAGTTTTGCCAAGTTGCAGCTTCCCTGCAGACGGTGCCCCAAGGCCCAGGAGAAGGCAGCACACTGAGGGGCCTCCCAGGACACCAGGGTGGCCTGTCCAGCAAGCTCCAGCAATGCAGGAAGTGGCCTTTCATTGGCCCGAGTGAGCGTGAGGGCCCAGTGCCGCTGGCACCAGTGCCACCCGCCCGCCCAAGCTCCCCGAGGAAACAGTCTGTCAGCTGCCAGGTGGCGGCTGCAGGAAGAGGCCACAGATGTCTCTTACCGTGTTTCTTCCCTCCTTTCCATTCTCCTTCATATCTAAAGAAAGAGTTCGGGTATATGTAGACACCGTAACCTGAATATTGAAAAGAAGATGCACAGGTGAGCATGTCACACAGAGACCTGGCTGACAAGCACCAAGCACTCAGGAGGGGCGGGCTCGGGCAGTGAGGGAGAGCATGCAGCCCCCGGGGCCTCTCATGGTCTCTGAGTGCTTCATCTCCAGTGAACTCCCCAACACTGCTGCCCAAAGGTTCAGTTTAGGAGTCAGGACTTTTCCTGTTTACCGTCCATCCATCCACTCATTCATTCATCTATGCAACAAACACAAGGAGCACCGACTTGGTGCAGAGAGGCAGGCCCCATGTGAAGTGGGCTAGGATGAGTGAGTGCAGGGTCTTTGAGAGGTGGCGGGGTGGGGAGGGGTGGTGGGAGGGTCCAGAGGCTTCCTGGAGAGGGGAAATTTGAAGTGAGTTGAATTAGCCAGGGGAAGGTGAGGACACTCCAGGGTGTGGGTGGGGTGAGCCGGACCTGCCACTTCTCTGCGGGAACCCTCCAGTGGCCTCCTGTCCCCTCAGGACAAAATTCACACTTGCATTCAAGGTGGACATGCCCAGCTTCATCTCCTGCTCCTCAGCTGTTGGGCGCACTACCCTCCACTCCCCACACCCGCAGTTCCTGGAATGGGTAGGGTCTCCTCCCTCACCAGCCCCTCTGGTTTCAAGGCACAGCTTGAGGGGAGCGGTTCTAGGGAAGCGTGGGGGTTACCAGACCCCTGTCTCTGCCATAACCGAGGGTCAGCTTGTACCTGCAGGTACCGGTGTGGACTGAATTCACCCCGGTCCTGCTTCTTTTATTCTATGAACAGCTCCTATCAAATCTCCTTCCGAACCGCGCACCCAGGACGTCGGGAGGCGCGGTCCTGCGCCCGCCCTGACACCCGGGGCCGGGCTCGGGGTGCTCTCCGGCTCGGTCTCCAGGCCCGGCTGGTTCTGCTACTGTGGGCCAGGACCCCTGCCCATCCCGCAAGGCACCAGCACACACGGAGGCGCGCCCTTCCCAGGGTCGGGGGCAACGAGGGCTCCCGAGAGCCGACTTGGGGTCCGGGGAGGCGCGCGTGGGAGCCCCGCTGGGATCGGAGGCGCGGGTTCTGGCCCCGGCTCCGGGACTTGGACTTCCTAACGTGAAGATGCGGGGCCAAGGGCGCGCAGCGATCGCTGGAACCCTGCCTGCCTCCCTTCCATCCCGACGAAGGCCTGCCCGTGCCTGGCCCGGGGCTGCAGCCATTACCGTCCCGCGGCGGCCGGCCCGGCGCGTCCCGGCGCGGCAGGAGGGAGATCGGTCTCCCCTCGCTGGCGGCTGCCATCTTGCCGCTAGAGGTTTCCCTTAGCAACCAGCAAAGCCCTCCTCCATTGGGTTGCTGGTCGAGAGGGGGCGTGGCCGCGGCGGCCCCGTCCCTGGGCGACAACAATCTCTGGAGCGGAGCTATCCGGGCCCGGAGCCAGAGAACGCGACTGCGCCTGCGCGACACGGTGCATTTCCGCCGCTGACGTCCCGTCCGACGAGAGGAAAGCCCCACCAACGGCCGGGCGCCCGCACCGGAAGTGGAAATGGTTGGAGGCTCTCGGCCCCGCCCCGGCGGCCATCTTGGAGGCCCCGGAGGCGGCGCCGCGCAGGAGGGAGCGGAAGTGCTCGCTGCCCGTTCTCGGACCGAGCGAAGCGCCGGCGCGGCCGCCTTCCCGCGTCCTCCTTCCCGCGGCCCTCGGGAGACCGCGCTCGGCCGCAGCGGAGCCGCGAGGTGCGGCGGGCGGGGCTCCGGCCGGGGCGGCGGGCGGGCAGGGCGCCGGGATAGGCGGGGCCGGGCGGATTCCCGGGTCGCGGCAGTGACCGGCGGCCCGTCCTGGGGGTCTGCGCCCGCCCAGCGGTGTGTCCTCGCCCGTGGCGGGGCCGTCCGCGGGGTCGGGTCGGAGCGCCGTGGTGAAGGGTCGGGCCGCTCGGTAATGGTGCGGACCGAGGTGGGGCCGCGAACGCGGGCTCCCGCCGCCCGGGCCGCCCTCCTACACCTGCTCTGGGCTCCGGGCCGAGGCGGCCGGTTAGCCCCCGAGTTTTCCCGAGGCGCGTTCCCTCGGTTGGGTTGGTCTCTCCCTTGGTAGGACTCCCGTGAGTGCAGAGGTGCCCGCGGTCGGGCGCAGTGTGCCTAGCCAGGCGGGGACATCTGAGACGGTCCGGCGGGAGGAGGGAGGGGTCCGGCTGGGATGCGGCCTCCCAAGAAGGAGCGGATGAGGTCTAGCAGGGCAGGTCAGCCGAGGGAGCAGCACCAGAGCTTGGAAGTGTGTGGACGTGTGGAAGTGTGTGGTCGTGTGGAAGTGTGTGGACGTGTCTTGCGGGGACCCCGACGAATGAGGGGAGGGAGCTGAACAGAGAGTTAGTGGGACCAGACTGTCGATGAGCCGCGTGCGGAATCCTCCGTGGCGTGCTTACTATTTGAGGAGTGGTGACCACGTCCAGAAACGGTACAAGTAATGGCTCCGGAACTAGGCACATGGGGAGTTGTGCTACAGTTTCAGGCGTGATACTCATGGTCGCTGCTTGGAACGGTTTTATCTTGCTTTCTTTTGTTTTCTTTGTGACTGTGCATAAAGCAGTTAAATCGAACAGATAATTTACCGCGGCCTGCGACGTAACAGGCCCTCTTAGGCAGTAGGGCCCAGCAAGGGAGCAGACAAGTTTCCCTCTTCAAGGAGCTTGCATTCTAGTAGGAGGAAATAGAGAAAGAAACCAGAAAATGAGTGTTACACAAAATGAACACAGGGCCATGTGACCTAAGGGGCTGAGTGGTCAGTGTGACTGTCATGGAGGGCCGTTCTGAAGAGGTGGCCTTTAAACTGAGCAGAGGGAAGAGGACTGCAGACAGAACAGCTGGTGTGGGGCTGGCCCTAATTTGGGAACAGGTCTGACGTGTTTGAGGGAGGCTCCCAGGGCCAGGCCTGGTGCTGGGTGCTGACACGGCTGGCCTGGCCGTTAACTCCACACAGGAAGCCTGCGAGGAGGGCGCTGAGGTGCTGTTGCCCCCATTTCGCAGATTGGACTGAGGTGTGCTGAAATGGTTGCCCAGGTCATACCGCTAGAACGTGATAGAACTGGACCCTATAAGCAAGCTCTTTGACTCCAAAGTTCACATTCTTAATGTTATTTATTATTGACGGTGAGTTTAATCAAGATGTCGAGCTGTGTTTTAACATGTACGTTGTTTGTCGGATAATCAGAAATTGGCTAATGTGTTTTTGGAAGATTTCCACACTTTCAGTTGAGAGAAGGGGACGGTGTAAGCAGTCATTTTTTCTTAGAGGACATGCTTGAGAGGGATAGCCAGGTATTTTCTCTCTTATATTACTCTTATCGCCTCAGTTGAAGTAGAGGCATTTTAGTGGTAAACACTTTGGTGTTAAAAATGTAAAGTAAGGGAAAATATGTAAGGAACCATAGGATAAAGAATATGACTGATGTAGCTTTCTGCTGGCCTGGCTTTGGCCTAAACAGGGTGGCCGGCCATCCTAGGTAATGAGTTCTAATTTAGCGCATTTTAAAATATGGAATTCTCTCCAGTTGAATGTAAAAACGCACTTCCCAAGAAGACAGGGAGCCGTCATTCATCTGTTCAGTTCAGTCATGTGTCTCATTTACGCGTCTCCCATGAGAGCAAAGGGCAGCTCTTGGTCCCTTCTCTCCACTTCCTGGCACTCTGCCCCATCCACACGATGGCTCCAGGAAGTGGTGTCATAGAGTCACGGTTACACTTTTAATGCAAATTTGGTGTGTCGTGGTGGGACTGCTCAGATTATTTTCATCTCTAAGTCGTAACTGGAAAGTTTTACACTTGAGATCCAGGATCATGTCAGGAGCCTGCTGACTTCCATTTCAAAAAGAGGGCGTTCTGAGTGCTCGCAGCGAGGATGTGATTGAGAAGCGTGGTGTCGGGCCGCTGTGGGTTCGGGTTCCAGCCCTGCTGTGAACAGGCTGATGGACGGGGCAGCTTGAACTGTTGTGAGCCTGTTTGCTGTCTGAATGGGAAGGGCTGCTGTGTGAGCGATCACTGTTTGCTAGATGAGGAAACTGAGGCCGCGTGGCCACGCTGCTCATGGGCCTTGGAAACAAACTTGGAGCCAGACTCCCCTTCTTGTCCTGAGGTTGTGGTGGCGGCGTGCTCCGCTGGAGGGGCTGAGGTCAGCCGGTTCCGGCTGCTCAGGAGCACAGCTGCTCCTGACCTCAGGCAGGCAGCGTCAACTCTCTGAGACTCGATCCTCCTTTGTGAAGTAGGGGGAGGCTGCTGCTCTGCTTGGTTATCTGGTTCTCACAGGCTGACTCCTCAGGGGTCACAGCAGTATGTTGAAGTAGTCAGGAGCAGATAGGATTACCTTCACTTACAGATAAGGAACTGGGACACCGACAGTGGACCACCGGAGAATCGTAGGTGACATTTTTCTGTTCATGGAGTGGAGGACCTGGCCCTGAGAGGACCAGGAGATGCACAGCTGGCTGCTGGTGCCGTGGAGAGTAGCCTGGACAGAGACCAGGGCAGGTCCTAGAGAAGAGGGCGTGCTGAGGGGAGCCCGAGGAACGGACAGGAGGAGGTGCTGGAGGGAGGCGCGTCTGGGGTACCCGGGGGAGGCGTGGGTGCGGCGCCCGTGCTGTGGACAGGACTGCATCGTCAGCGGGCAGTTCCTGGGGACCAGCAGGAGGAGTGTGACCCAGGTAATATTAGCAGAAGCGAAAGTCCACCCAGTGCTGCTTTGCATGTCACGTGCCACCTGCTTTCCACTAAAGCATGGCACCGGCTTGTTCCTTTTTCTTGGACAACTCATGGTAAAGACACACAGAAGAAAGAAACGGTGTGGATGAAATATTGAATACCGAAAAAAGCTACTTGATAGTATTGACAGAAATAGGGCAAAGTGATCAAATGCTTGAATGCTTTTCATGGAAAATATTTTGTGTTTCTCTCAGTTACAGAATGTCTGAAGGGGACAGTGTTGGCGAGTCCGTCCACGGGAAGCCTTCTGTGGTATACAGATTTTTCACAAGACTCGGACAGGTTGGTTTTTCTGTAGATGAGTTGTGTAAATATTTGAACGGGAAACTGTTGACCCTGGGCCATTTTCCTGCGGGGCATAGGTGTGCCAGCGTTCCTGATGGAGAGTGGATGACACCTTGTCCCAGCCTCACATTTCCACTTTCAGAAACGTGAACGCGCACGTCTTTCTGTAGAGGGCCAGGTAGTAAGTGGTTTAGGCCTTGGGGGCCAAATATGGTGTCTGCCACATATTTTTTTTTCCAGGTTTTTTCCAACCACCTTTAAAAGTGTGAGAACCATTCTTAGCTCCCGGGCGGTACAGACTTGGTGGTGGCCCCTGCTCTGCTGTTGCTGTCCCCTCTCCCAGCCACCTGTGTCCACATCCACTTGGCTCCGGGGTCTGCACACCATCATTGGACCATACCGTGGGCCGTGAGGAGGCCTGCACTGGCCACCGGTGCCTGAATCTATATTCACACACTGTGTGTTTGAGTTTCAGTCTTAGAGGAAGAAGTCCAATTCAGTGAACAGTTGCATATACTGATGTCTTGGCTCAGAATCAAAAATGTATCAATTTTTAAAATTAAAAAATAGCATTTGAAGACCTTGATTATTGAAGCTGAGTGATGGGTATGTGTGGGCTCAATATTCCCTTTTATGAATGGTTGAAATTTTTCATGATTAAAATTTAAAAACTAAAATTAAACAATTTCAAAATTAAAATTAGACAACACACGTATGCGTATGTAATTACCTATACACAGATACACACACACGTGTATATGTGTAAAACTAAGGGTTCCTGCAGTGCCCTCTGCAGCTGCCTTGGTGCCCACCATGCGCAAGCTCCATGCAACCAGAGGTCAGGCTGTGGCCAGCCGGCCTGAGACCAAGGGCGGGGGCCAGCCAGGGGCTACTGGGCAGGGCTGGGACCTGCTCCGTTGGGGAGGGCTTTGGGACGGGACTTGTGGGCTGAGTCCCATATGTAGGACGGTGACTGGAAGGTGCGCACATTCTCCTCTCTCAGTCCAGTCTTCTCTTGGGTTGAAGTTAGGTCTCCCAGTCGTGACCCCTTTGGGCTAGTGCTATAGGATCCTCTGCTGTGAGAGATTGTTCTGTGATATTTTTGCTTAATGGATGCACTTGCCTCAGTGGGTTAATCGTAGTCACAGCTTTGGGCCAGCGCCTTAGGACCCGAAGCAGATGGTCTCAGGAAGTGTCCTGTGCAGTAGGAGTTGCACAGTCTTCGTAACACCGTGCACTGTCTTCCAGATCTATCAGTCCTGGCTAGACAAG